CGCCCCGGCCTGCCCAGCGCCCCCGGGGGGAGCTCCGCAGGGTGCTGGGCCCACCGCCGGGAGCCGCCTCCCACCCGCGGCTGGGCCCGGCCCCGGGGGGTCCCTGAGGCGGCGGGGGAGGCCGCGGCCTAGGCGGGTCCGCAGGCCTGTGAGGGCGGGGGGAGCGAGCTGTGAGGGGCGGCGGGAGCTCCCACCCCATTCCCTCCTTGTTCCCCCCTCCTTCCCTCCTCTCTCTCTCTCTCCAGGGCTGGGGGGCACCGGCCCGTGGGCCTCTCCCAGCTGTGCCCCCCGAAGCCCCGGTCCTGCCTCTCCGGGGGATGAGGGGAGCGCTGGCAGCAGGGCCCCAAGCCCGCAGGTGCTCCCCAACCCTCTTACAGGGGCTGCCCGGCACCTTGTGCCCCTCTGCTAAGGTCTATTCTACTTATTACTATTTCTTCAGAAGCTTGGGCTCTTAAGGTTATATTTTTATCAGTAAGTAAATGGCCGCAGTGGTCCTGACGCACAGAATGTGGGCTGAGGGCTGGGTTTTTGTAAGCTGGGCTGCATCAGGTGCCTCAGGAGGCAGCATGTGTTGTTCAGGGATAAACTGTTTGCTGTTTTGGATGTGCCCCAGGTGTTTGCCAAATTCAAAGAGGCTGTCTGGGAGTAAAAGGTGTGATATCCCTAAATTTAAGCCCCCTGCCATGTAATCTTTCTGGTTTTCAACCCGATTAGTAACAGACCAAGAATGTTATGATGATTGCGCTTCCTAAAACCTCGCAGGTGACTCGCTGTCAAAAAAACTGGTGACAGTATCTGAAGAAAAGCTGCGCCATCACCTCATTGTCAAACCCCGTCTCTTTCCTCAACTTTTAAAATACTACATGAAAGTGTGGATTCATACCATAGAATAAACTCAACTGGAGGAGGCTAATAGCAGTTTACTCGCTGAGTTTCCTAGGAGTTTTATTTTTTGTTGCCCATTGCCACATTTTACGATGTTAAAATGATCGTATGCGAAGTTGAAACTTCAGGTGATCCCTTGAAAAACTGCATAGACACCCGTAACAGTAGACTTTACAGTCTTGCTGGTGAGTTGTGTTCCTGGCCTGTGCTGGGGCTGGTGCAGCTCGGCTGGATGGGGGGGGGATCTCTCCTGCCTCTTGCTGACAGCACCCACCCAGGTGCGATCCCAGTTCCTGTGAGAGCTGTTCAGCTTGGGGGTGTCGCTGGTTTCTGTTTCCTGATTATTCCATAGAGGGATTTAAAACCATCTTGGAAAGCCTGATTTGCTCTCTTGCCTGAAGTTTCACAGATTTTGGAAGTGAGCGCCGTTCTAACTGGTTCGGAAGTGAAGTGATGAGTTTCTAGCTAGAAGAATGCAGGTCTAGAGCAGGGAAAAATTCCGTGTTTCTCAGAATATAAGAGAAATAAGCATGAGTGAGTTTGCTAGTCCCTGCTGTCAGCAGCGTTCCCTTCAGGAGGCTGGCTCAGGGTGTTACCAAGGCCACTGGGTGGGAATTCCACATCCTCTGAGTCAGTAGTGGTCTCCAGTAAGCAAACCCATCTCCTCGGCCTATAGAGTGGCTCACGGAGCTCCACGGGAGCTACTGGATGATACTTTGCTGATGAAATGGTGTTAGTCAGGGTTGCTGGAGATGTTTTGAAGTGATAGCCATCCGATTGTTGATGTGATACTAGAAAATTACCTTTCATATTATTGTTAAGGAGACATGAGGGAGTTGATGAGGTCTGTGAAGGTAATTGGTATCAAGATGTTGTCTTCTGTCCAGTAATATTTTTCATTAAAAGCTTATGTCTGCTTGTGACCGATTTATTTTTGAGGGAACCCATAAAATAACCTTAAATTAGTATTTTTGTCTTCCTCAGCTTGTAAAGAGTCTTTGCCAGACTTCTCATTGTTCTGCATTTATGGTATTTTTCACATGGGCCTGAGAGTTTGAGTCCGTCTTGTTGAACATCCTCAGCTCTTGCCATAATTCCCTGGAGCTCCACGACTTGGGTGTCTCAGCAGCATTAATACCAGTACAGAGCTCTATGGCTTTTTAATGCTTTGATTTGACGCTGCTTTGAATTATGCAGTTACTTTTCCTAGGTGATAAGAGGAGATTTAATATCTCTATTAAAATATTGCCAGTGTACCTTTACAATTAGCTGTCCATTTTTTTTCCTCCCATTTAAAAAGTATTTTCCTTTAAGCACTGCCAGCTGATACGGAGGCCGTTCTGGTTTTATTTGGGTAGCTCTGTTTCTAAAGCCACTTTTAGAGTAGAAACTTAACCTATATTAATGCCACTTCAGCTGTGTTTGCAAAGTAATCCTGTTCTCACTTTAATCGATTGAATCTTGCCCCTTAAAGCCTTTCCTGTAAGGCATAAAGATATTTTTTTTTGTTGTTTTAGTTTTAGCCATAAGTTCCTCCCTTTTTAAAAGTATTTTCCTTTAAGCGCTGCCAGCTGATACGGAGGCCATTCTGGTTTTATTTGGGTAGCTCTGTTTCTACCTCCCATTTAAAAAGTATTTTCCTTTAAGCACTGCCAGCTGATACGGAGGCCGTTCTGGTTTTATTTGGGTAGCTCTGTTTCTAAAGCCACTTTTAGAGTAGAAACTTAACCTATATTAATGCCACTTCAGCTGTGTTTGCAAAGTAATCCTGTTCTCACTTTAATCGATTGAATCTTGCCCCTTAAAGCCTTTCCTGTAAGGCATAAAGATATTTTTTGTTGTTGTTTTAGTTTTAGCCATAAGTTTGATAGAAAAGGTTGATACAACTGCGGGCTGTGAAGTTATTCTCACCCCAGTAATCTGAGCACTTCTCTTACATCACGCTGTTTGCCCTGATTTACAGGTTATTTGAGTCGATGGTTTTTCTAAGCCCCGCAGAGGCTTTTCTTGATCGGTATTTTGCTCAAGCAATAAATAAATCTGCTGACGTGTATGTTCTGCCGTGTTTGCTTATTCTTGACCTTTGCTTTTTAGCCATGCAAGGGACAGTTTCAGTGGTGACGTTGTGTAACTGGGTGTTTATGCGTTGATGAGCATATTTGATTTGTAGTCTTACAATTTGTGCCTGTTGCAGCTGATCAGCTGCTCAGAGTGGAGGAGGAGGTGGCTAAGGGTTTTGGGGTTAGTCCTGGAGAAACCAGGGACTCCCAGCACTTCATGCTTTTCAACCAGGGAGGTGAATAGGGGCTGAAAATATTTTGTTCCAGTGCAAGCAAATGTAATTTGAATGTTCTTTCCTCCTCTTTCCATATTACCTTTCTGTGATACACCTGTTGTTGTGTAGCAGAGAACCTCTGCTGCCATGAGTGTAATTGCTGTGACAGGTGCCTGGATTTTGGTGTGGCTCTGTCCTGAGCTCCAGGGTCAGAGCTGCCCAAAAATCATCTTGTGACCACCCCCCCAAGGTACCTCTCCAGCATGGAGACAAGTGTGGCAGGACATCCATGACGTTGCCTCTGCCACCTGCAGTCAAGGACAATCGGACTCCAGTGTCCCCTGATGTTAGCAGGGATTACATGCTCCAGTAGGAATTAGCTGGCTAAATGCTTCGAAGGATGCTGCCCTTGAGTCTTTCAAGAGGTTTTCATGCTAGATACTAATTCACGGGGTCAAACTGGTGCCTTTAGTGTGATTATCCCCTCTTCAGATAATGAGGAAATTAGGATGAAAGCTAAGAAATGATGGTTGTGCAGTGAACTTAGTGATGGCTTTATTCTTGAGCCCCAAAGCATCACTTTGGCAGTAGTGACACTTTCTCCTCTGTGCTACCTGTCCTCCTGGGTGCTCAAGGTGTGCCAAAGCTCCTCTGACACCTCTGCTGTGGCCACTTGTTGGGAGGCAGCCCTGCTTTTGGGGGCAGAGGGATTTTTCTGGGGCAGGAACAACTGAATTCGTCTGTCTTGGCCACTTGCTTCTTTCCCAGGGATTAGCATAGAGCTGTATATTTTTTAACCATACCCCAAAGAAAAGGTGCTTGTGGAGAAGCAGAACTTCATCCTGGTGGCAAGGATTGTCCTGACTCTGATGGTCAGCTGAAGTTGGCTGAGGGCTGTACAGCACAACAAGGGTGTTGATTATAGTCATATTTCCTGTCTCTCAGCTCAACCTTCTGTTTTTAAATCTAAGCTGAAGGAATCCAGTGGGAAACGTGGTATTCTGGAGTCCTTTTTTTTTTTATAAATAAGTTTTGCATTTAAGGTTTAAAGTGTGGCAGCCTGTGCAGGACACTACAGGAGACCACATTGTTTGAATGGTAGTTCCTGTGCTTTGTGTTAAGTAGTCGTTTCCTATTACAAGCTAAAGGGACAGGTATGTGCAGACAATAGGGATTTATTTGGTATCTGACTTCTCTGGGTTCAACTTCATAAAACTTCCTTGCCTCTTATCACCTCTGCTTTGAACCCCAGCAGCTCCCAGGGGCACCGGAGCACTGACTCTGCCCTGATGACTCTGTTGCCCCCTCCAAAGTGCCACGTTGTCCCAGTTGGAAAGTTAATGTGAAGATCCCATGTGAAATCTTCGGTGGAACATCACACACTTCCACCAAACTGTGCCTAAGACACGATTATTTTTACTTCTTGCAAAGATTTCTGTCCACGTAGCATTTTCCAAGGCCGCAGAGGGAGGAGGGAGAGGAAGTTTCTGCTGTTGAATCAGACGGTCTGGATTCTGTTTTCATTTCTACACTCATTTTTTTTAACGCATTGCAGGGTCACTCTTTTTCACCCAGAACTTTGGGTTACTTTTGTTATCTGTAAATATCTAACAATGTTTAATGTGCTGTATTTTTTTTAACGCGTTGCAGGGTCACTTTTTCACCCAGAACTTTAGGTTACTTTTGTTACCTGTAAATATCTAACAATGTTTAATGTGCTGTTGTGACAGATCTTAAATGCATTGTATTTTCTGTTTATTTCAGAGTATAAGATTCAGATATGGCTTTCATATTTGATTGGATTTACAGTGGTTTCAGTAGCGTATTACAGTTCTTAGGTAAGTCTTAATTGTTTGGGGTTTTTTTTCTTTTGGTTATTATTATATAAAATGTATGTTCACCTCTTATCTGCAAACATAGCAGCTGGTTAAATAATAATATTTGGTTTGGTACATATTCAAAAATACTTAAACAAAAGTTTCACTTATCAATACTGAGTATTTCCAGAGTCTGCTCTCCACTCAATCTTTCATTAATCCTTTAACCTCCTGAAAAATTACATTTCCTTTAATGAACATAATGGGTTTGCTTTGTTTTCTTTTTCTAATCATACTACATTTAAGTTGCTGTAGTTCAGTTGGCTCTTACAGAGCTTCTCCTGATCTTTCTGTGCTGTAAAGAACTGAACTCAGTTATTTTTGCTCAGTTCTTTTGCACACGAGAATCCAAATAGGAGGAACAGTCTACAAAAAATCAGTGCCGGATATTGAAGCCCTTGCTCATGTTCAGCAGTGCCTTATTTTGTGACTGATGTCACTGAAATCAGTGTGAAACTTCAGTGGCATCTGCTGAAGAGCCTCAGGAAAGTGTTCCCTGGCCAAAAGAGTCTGTAACCCCTATCGATCCAAGGTGAAATATTAGCTTGTGGAAAACAGGACGGGGAGGAGGGAAACCCTCCAAAAAAACCCAGCAAAACCAAACAAGAGGAAAGGGAATGTTAGGATACTAAAAAGAGGAATGGAAGTTACAGATCACACAGGTAAAAGGCACAATTTACAACTTCCAAGGATTTTATTGAAGCAGACAAGAAGCATTTGAGATTAATGAATCATGGCAAGCTCTGCCACCTGCCTTTTATCAGTTGAAAGTTTAAACTTCTTCGCTGAATGTTAGACCCTTGGACTACTATCGAAATATTAGCCAGTGAAATTTTAACTAAGTTGACTAATCTTTCTTATCTCCTCTTACTTAGCTGAGCAGTGATTATTGCACGCTAGCCCACTTTCCTGTTCCTGTGCATGCAAAGTTTAATTCTGGTGAAAGGTATGGGAGCTTGAAGTAGGAAGGAGAAATACTTTCAGTATGTTGCTTTTATTTTAGAAGAAACACTTACTATTTTCATTCTAATTTACATTAACGGTTGAAGAAGGTTTATAATAACATTTGAGAAACTCCCTGCAGTTTCCCTGTGCTGTCCTGTCAGTAAGCTGGTAAGATCACTCTATGAAGTACATCTTTGTGCACAGATACTTTTAGAATGCACAAAGAATCTGATTTTTTTCTATATATAAACTCTGGTCTTGGTGTAGCTAATGGCTGAAGTTTTGCTGCTGCTTTGTCTTGCATTTCTATGAAAAATACTTGGGAAATGTGAAATCTTTCAGAGAAAGCACCAGCATCTGACTGGGGAGCAAAGGCTCTTGGGTGTCCAGGCTGAGACTGGCAAAAATGTTGTTTTACTATGATTTAGTAGGGTTTTGTTTAACTCCTAAGGTAAGTGTGAACTGGAGATTGCCCCGTGACATAAGTTAATATAGGAAAGTTATTGTCCACTTCTCCTTTCTCAGTAAACATTAATACTTTCTCCTCCACTCTGTAGTTTAATAGTTAATATATATATATTTGGGCGTGTGAGTTTGGGAAGTAGGAGTTGTTGCATTTGAAAGAACTGTGAAGACATGATACCTGTAGTAATAAAGATCATTAATGAAATCAGCTGAGGAGTAGGAAAGAATTCCTGCAGGTTACAGAACGTGTCGTGCTGGAATGTGATGCTGGAGATTAACCTGGAGGCAGGGAGAGAGGTGAGCAAACAGCCGCCGTGTAAAGGTCGGTCTAAAGAGGCACGTGTACCCCTGTAACACTGGGTCACCTGTGGGGCTGTCCCAGTGGCCACCCCCCAGTGGCCCTGCTTAAATCCCACTGAATAAAACCCTAATCCACTGCCCTCCTCATGTAGAGAGACCCAGGGCAGCTGGCAGTGCTCCCTTTGGATGGCTACCAGCTGCCCTTTGGATGGCTACCAGCCGCTTGCCTGCAGCCCCAGGGCACGGTGCAGGATGCTGGTCCCTAGTTTGCGGGTCAGGAGGGTTGGCTGTGCTTTGTCAGGACTGCAGCCGTGGGATGGTTGAGCTTGGACAGTAAAATCTGCTCGTGTACCTCACCAAATGTTTCTGTATCATTGTGGTGGTGGTAAACTTTTCTTCAGTGTATTGCAAAGTACCACATTACTGTGATGTTACATAGTAAGAGATCCTAGTGACATAAAAACCTCCCATATTGCAATATTTGTCTGTATTTTGCAATTCTTTTTACACAGAAAGAAGAGAGGATTCTGTTAGGAACATAGCTCAGTTTTACCTTCGAAGAAATGTATTTTCAGCATATATATATATATGTTTATATATTTCCTTGCCCTCTGCTGTAAGTGTTCTGTCTTCCTCAGCGCTCACAGGTGCTGTGGGGTCAGTGTGGTTCCTAAGGAGATGTGCAGTGTGTAGTACCCAGCCCCAGCTCTTTGAAGAAGGAATAAGGGAAGTTTTTCTCTCCTTAAAAAAGGCAAAGCTGAGAGTCTTTTACTTCAGCAGTTTTTCAGTACAGAATGTAGTATGTATTTATTTTTTTTTTTAATGAAATCTGTCTTAAAAACATCGATCAGTTTGAAACGGTGAAAAATAAATCTGGCATAGGCTGTAGTGTTGGCAAGTTTAGGAGAATTGCCCCTTGATAACCTCAGACTTAAGAAAATATGGTGTTCGTGTTTTACACATCCATCCTCTCTTTCACAGCAACTGTTGCATTTATTTGGGTTACAAGTAGAGGAAAAAAGGGGGGAAAAAGCATTTTTATAAAGATGACAACTGGTGAAAATAAAATTTCTTACTCTTGTTATGGAAGCATTATTGCATGACAGCACGTGTGTCAGAATTGTCCTGACGATGCCATTCAGGATATATCCATAAAATTTTGCTGGGAGTGTGGCTGAATGTTACTTTTTGTCAAAATAACATATGAACCAACATAAAAAGAATTCATACATACACTGATTACGACTATTAACATGGTAACTAATTTCTCTGTGATATACCTATTGAGATCTGGACTTCCTTTTTGCCTCAAACAGCTTTTTTTGGGGTTGTAATTGGAGGTAGCTGAACTAAACACCCTCCATCCAGGTATATGATGATCCATATTGTAGAGCCCTCTGTCCACACGCCGCCTCCTCTACCTCCTGTGAGCAAAACTGCCCTTTTTTGGGGGCAGAGTAAACACTGCTAGCAAAATTTGGTCCTGTTTTATGTTTTTTTTTCTAAGATATTTAAATGCAGTTACGTTGAGTGACAAGTTTATACCAATTGTGTGCCTCTCCCCTTCCCACTAAGCGTTTTTCTAAGATATTTAAATGCATTTACGTTGAGTGACAAGTTTACATCAATTGTGTGCCTCTCCCCTTCCCACTAAGCGAATTCATACATACACTAATTACGACTATTAACATGGTAACTAATTTATCTGTCATATACCTATTGAGATCTGAACTTCCTTTTTGTTTCAAACAACTTTTTTGGGGGTCGTAATTGGAGGTAGCTGAACTAAACACTCTCCATCCAGGTCTATGATGATCCATATTTTAGAGCCCTCTATGTCCACGCACCTCCTTCTCCACCTCCTGTGAGCAAAACTGCCCTTTTTTTGGGGCAGAGTAAACACTGCTAGCAAAATTTGGTCCTGTTTTATGTTTTTTTTTCTAAGATATTTAAATGCAGTTACGTTGAGTGACAAGTTTATACCAATTGTGTGCCTCTCCCCTTCCCACTAAGCATCCCATAAGCTGCACGTGGTACCCCTTAGTGCAGCAGGGTGAATGTCACTTGTGTGAGTAGAACATGGATAAAGGGCACTGATAAAGTGCACGGTGGAGCTTGGCTGGTGTGAATTTTGTACCCTGACTTTGTTCCTGGGAGCAAGATCACCTCCGGTGCTGGGAATGAACTCCCACTGATTTAACTGATTATTCACCAGGATCTCCTTTGTTCTAGGGTTGTACAAGAAATCGGGCAAACTAGTGTTTCTTGGCCTGGACAATGCTGGAAAAACTACGCTGCTGCACATGCTCAAAGATGACAGATTGGGACAACACGTCCCCACGTTACACCCCAGTAAGTTAATAAAGCTGGTTCCATAACTAGAAGATACTTAAAGAACTGCAGGAAAAGCAGGGTCTGATTATACATAAGACCAACAGTGTGAGTGGGGAAAACAAAGGAATTTCTGGGAACTAGCTGTAGGTAGTTCAAGTAATATTAAAAAAAGATGGGTATAGGATAGTTCAATGTGGTTTGTTTAAAACTGAGGGGGAAACCAAGCTGAGTGATGGAGCTGAGAGTCTAGATAACAGAAGTTGTGGGAAATTGGGAGTAGCTTCTCTGTCTAACTGGAAAACTACCATTTATATACACTGTTTGGATTGGTTTTTTAACTCAGAGGTTGCTGTGTAATAGTTATCCTGGTAGCTTCACAGGAGAAAAAGTCCAATACAGGTTGAAAATGTGGATTGGGGGAAGTCCAGTGAGGAGGTGAGAGATCGGGAAAGGAAGTGGAGAAATCTTGAAAACTATTGTACGTGAAATGCCATCTTTTTGGCAAACCAGCTGCCAGAGCCAACTGTTGTTTGTGTAGTGTGTGGGGATAAGTAATGTATGAATATTCTCTGCTATTCTTAGCATTGCAGATATTTCACACATGTTTTAATGGTTAATAGCATTTTGTTAAACGTGTGTCATTGATTTTGAGAGAGAATGTATCGCTCTGAGTTGTTCCTTGAGCAATAAAATACAGAAAAGACCCCAGGGGAAGTAAAACAGTTATTTCACACGTGTTTTAATGCTTAATAGCATTTTGTTAAACGTGTGTCATTGATTTTGAGAGAGAATGTATCGCTCTGAGTTGTTCCTTGAGCAATAAAATACAGAAAAGACCCCAGGGGAAGTAAAGTCTACAGGCTAGAAGGTTAGAGGACTCTGAGGCACTGCAAAATCTTCACAGAGAACATAATTCTGTGTATTTCTAGCTTCAGAAGAGCTGACGATTGCTGGCATGACTTTCACTACCTTTGATCTGGGTGGACATGCTCAAGGTAAGAGAATACGTCGCGTCACGTCACCGAATCAAGTTCAAATTGTCTGCAGTCCCCTTGTTTTGGATCCAAAATCCAACCGTGCTGCAGAGATCAACTTCCCACACTCTGTGACAGCATAAAAACCATTCACTGCTCTGGATTTCTCCACCCATTTATCACAAAGCCCAAATACTGCTGCAGGTGTTGCCAAATTGAGCGTAAATTTTTGACAGATATCTGTATTTTGAAGAGGATTCTGCACTTTGAATTGCTTACACTTACCTTATTTCTCCACCATTTATCACAAATCCCAAATACTGCTGAAGGTGTTGCCAAATTGAGCATAAATTTTTGTCAGATATCTGTATTTTGAAGAGGATTCTGCACTTTGAATTGCTTACACTTACCTTTAAGCTTGATTCTTTAAGCTTACTTTAATTGATATAATTCTTGGGGAAACACTAAAAGTTTCAGTGTGCATGTGGGATAGATAGAGTGGTGATAATAGTATAATGATATTTTTGCTCCATCATTTCAAGTTCCTTAAAATGTGAAATAGCATCCTGAAGGCTGGCAACATAAGCCAAGGCTTCAGAAAATAACCCTGTTGCTTCTTAATTACTGGTGTGCATCACTCCAGATTTTGGGGTAATTTCCTTTTGTTTCTACTTCCCATCTTCCCTGTAGCTCGCCGAGTGTGGAAAAACTATTTACCTGCGATTAATGGCATCGTGTTCTTGGTGGACTGTGCAGACCACGAAAGGTTGCTTGAATCAAAAGAAGAACTTGATGTAAGTTTAAATAAAGTTTTGAAGGTTTTAACTTTAACTTTTAAGAAATAAGCTCAAATTCCCCAGTATCCACAGAGCTCTGCTGCCACCTGGACATGAGTAGTAGCAACTTGACCTTCTATATTCTGAATTAATCTCTCTTCTCCTTTCTCCTTTCCATTGTAGTCACTAATGACAGATGAAACTATTGCTAATGTGCCTATCCTAATTCTTGGGAACAAGATTGACAGACCTGAAGCCATTAGTGAAGAGAGGTTACGAGAGATGTTTGGTCTGTATGGCCAGACAACAGGAAAGGTAATGCTCCTTTTCTTCTTAGATGGGGGCTTTGATTTATTTTGTTAGAGAGTTTGTCTTTTTCTGTGTGCGTTGTCTCCACTCCAGCTATGCCAAGAAAAAAGTTTTTAATTTATAAAGTAATTAGTACATAATTGTGTGCGTTGTCTCCGCTCCAGCGCTGCCAAGAAAAAAAAATAAGGTTTTTAATTTATAAAGTAATTAGTACATAATAACTGTATATGGAATGAATGAATTATGGAATCTTTTGTGTGTTGAATGCATCTCTCCAACTTTTTTACATCACATCTTTGGATAATTTTTAGTACTTCAAATTTCCTATGCAGCACTTTAAAATGATGAGGTTTTTAGAGACTATAGTTCCTAGTGAGACCTAGTGAGTGCCAAAGAGAAAGCTGGATAAAGTCTTGCAGCAAGTGATTTCTCATTTAAGGTGCAGACTTAGTATATTTTGTTACTTAACATGTTTATCTAAAGCTTAGAAATAAATTTGTAGCATTGTAGAAGTCTGAGATTATAGGTTTTGGAGGGGTGGGGTGGTGAAAACATGTTCCTACTGGCATCTGTAGCAACAGGGCAGACTTATATTAAGGATCTTTGTGATACTCAACTCTTCTTAATTTAAATACAGTGTATTTATTCTTAGATTCTTCCCTTCAAGTTCAGTGCCAGTCAGAGATCAGGTTGAGCAGGAACAAAACATTTTCCTTCATGTTTTCCACGTTGAAAGAGAATTGCACAGGTTAATTAGAATAGGTATCATGGGCTATAAACGGGTATTACTGACTTTTATTATATTTTTTTAGCTTGGCCTGGTTTTTACATCACTGCACAGTCTATAAAGGATGAACACCATTGTGAATCTCCAGCTGAGCAACAGCTTTATCCCACTGTGCTCACCTTGATGAGCAAGCAGCTTGCACTCTTGCTGGGGTCAGTCCTGCGATTGGTAGCAAACGTGCTTTTTAATTTGGGTGGAAAACTGTTAGAGCAGGGAACTGGGACTGAAAACTGAGTGTAAGCCCTCATGTTCTTGCTGTTGCACTTTGGAGAGGGTGAAGTACATGAAATCAAGTGTAGGTGCACATGAAAACAGGCTGAGTGTATTTCTCAAGTGACCCTAATCTTAGTAATATGTACACATTTTAGATTAATTTACTTTCTAAAATCCCGGTGTCCGACACAAGTTAAATAACGGCATTCCATAGAAACAAAGTCGATGTAAAGTAGCTGTTTGGGGTTTTTTTTGGTAACAACACTAATTTGGCACACCCTTGTCTCCCTGCAGGGCAGTATACCCCTGAAAGAGCTCAACGCCAGGCCGCTGGAGGTGTTCATGTGCAGCGTGCTAAAGAGACAAGGCTATGGAGAAGGCTTCCGTTGGATGGCACAGTACATTGATTAATGCCAAAACCCCACCAGTACCTTCTGCCCCCTGTCTGAATATTAAGTCTGCTCTTTATTTGATCACTCGGTGTACGTAACTTGAATTCATTTGACTGTTTAGTTATATATATAAAAAAAAAATAATATACATTTTTAGCTAATTATATCATGTACGCTAAATTGTTAAGTGTGAGGATTGAGAAATTATTTCAAGCGAGTTTGTAAGTTTTAAGTACCACAATCTGTGAGCTTTCTAATCCCATGCAACATTCTTTTGCAGCTTTTAATTTAACAAGTCTCCGGCACCATTTTTGGTCAGAGCAACTTTCCAGTACAGTATGTTTGAATGCACTTTTTAACAGCTTAAAAACTACGAACATGTGAAAAAAAAAAAAATATTTAATGCTTATGTTAAATTTTTTTATGTACTTTTTTGAAACTGGTTTTATAACTTTAGAGTATATAACCATCTTTCAAGGAATAATAAATAATTAGCTGATGGATAATTGCATGATGCCTTACGGTTTTCAATAATATACTTTCTTATGCAACGTCATGCAATAAATTTAAATCCGGTTTTTGGCAACTTTAATGGAAAATGTTTCATTTTAATGTGTCTTAACTAGTGAGGCTGCCTGATGATCTGAATATGTGGGATATTTTCCTGAAACACAGAAGGCCACCAAGTAGTTTCATTGTATGTTAGAGTAAGGTGTTTTTTTCAGACTACCAATTTGCATTGAGTTTTAGGATTTTGCGTTAGTAAAAAAAAATAATCTACTCCAATGCCCTTATAACCACCACTTTTAAAAAGTACAAATAATGTAAATCAGCTGTGCCATTGTAAGTCTTGAACTAATGTCAAAAGTGGTCTTACTGTACTGGTCTCTTGAGTTAAACCCCTGAAGCGGCACAAGAAATAGAGGTTTTATTCTGAAGAAATTAAGAATACCATTGCACTAAATATTCGGTTCGTAATTTAATTAGATCTGGGGTTTGCCAGAAGATTTGCCTGTGAAATTGCCCAGGGGGAAAAAATGTTGCCATTGCTGCTTGTGAAAATTTATCAGCCCACACCCAATCGACCAATTTTATTTTTTGGTGTTCCAAACTGGGACAAGATGGGTTATTTTCTGTGGTTTTGCCCTGAAACCTAGTCAGCGTGGCAGCTGCTGGCTGCCCAGGTGGCTTAGTTCTGGGGATAAAATCTGATTATTTGGGGTCCTTATTTCTAGACATCTGACTGTTGGGTTTTAATCTCTGATCCTCCCAGTGCAGGCAGGGTTTCTGCCCTGGAGTCACCCTTTCACCATGATGGGTTTGAATTTCGCTGTGGAGTTTGTTTCCCCCTTGTTAGAGTATGAACTGCTGCAAGTTTTTTTTACTGAATCCCTTTTACTCACTGTTGTGGGTCTTCTCCAAAATATTTTAGGCCTTATGTTTACAATATCCAGGGCAGCAAATGTATTTCTGACTGGTTTGGTTTCATAAATAACTTTCTCTAAACCTGCTGGGCTTGAATTTCTGACTTCAAGCCCGTAGGCTCATATCAAGGAGACTTTTCCTTTGCCCAAGATCTGAACTTGTATGATTTGAATATTGATGATCGGTGCTCCACGGTCCCAGATCGTGCATCTGAATCAGATGAATAATTCAGAACCCAACTAATTGTAAATTGTAACTGAAGTTTATTGCTGCAAAGTGTGAAGCCTGGTTTGTGCACGGAGAAATTCAGAGGGATGGGATTGGGTAGCTTCTCCAAATGAGCAATGTAAGAGAATTTTGCATTTAAAATAATGCTCAGCTGTAGAGTGGTATCTCCTGTATAAATCAAAACTGGAGTTGAGAAATGGCCTCTCACCAGTGTGTGGACAATATGTGAGTCTCCACTACCTACAGCCGTTGCGTAGGGGACGTGCCACTTTTTTCCCCCCCCTCTAGATTTTTCTGATGATGGTTACAATGCAGAGAACAACAGCTAAACGGGCAGACTGTGTAAATATTAAAAATACTACCTGCAGTCACACTGTGGTGTTGATGTGGGAGACTTATGTGGCCTGCGCTGATGGAGATGAAGCTGGTGGAGATGTTCTGCTGCAGAGCACTTCCACAGGCTGAGCCACAGCCTGGGCACTGAGAGCTCCTCTTCACCTTCCCACCAACTGCAAATAACAGCAGCAGGAAGGAAAGAGATGATAGTATTAAAGATTTAAAAAGAAGAGAGGTGATACTGCTTTAAAAGTGTGTGTTAAGAGTAATTCTTAGTATTATGGAAATACTCAGATTTCACGTTTCCCACTGTAGGATGCTAGTTTAAACGTGGTTGTAATAAGGGCATGAAGAAATCTGGGCCTTGTGCTTATCCTCCTGGGTATTGTCCTGGTTCCCTTGGTGGGAACAGCTGATCAGCACTTGGTTAAACACACAAATAATCCTGCTCTTTCATCTCATCCAGCAGAGGAAGTGTCGTCTGTAGTTCAGTTCCCTGGTGCACACGAATGTGAATGGGTGTTGTGTGTCTTTGTGTGAAGACCTCATTAATAGTCAAATATACTGATGAGAGTTTTTCTGGTGGTTTTCATCCCACCATCCCTTACCCCCTCCACATCTCCCTGCTCACTCATTTCTGGAGGTTGCTTTTTCCTATCACTGTGGCCAGTCTACACTTCAAAAAAAAAAAAAAGGCAACATTCACATTTGGGTCCGATTTCTATGAATTTTTTTCTTTTTGCACTCTTGACTATGCAGATTTCAATTAACCATCACTCTTTAAAGAATGTGAAAAAGAAAACTTGTTAATAAAGATGTCATTTATGAAGTGTCTCATTTGGGTTTTACATCAAAAGAGTTATTTAAGAGAAATGAATGCAGATTTCTAAGGTACTGATAACTACTGACAGAGTGGCCTGTGTTTCGCTGCAGTGACCCCATACACTGGCATCTATGGGTTGAAAAAGGTTTATTTTGCTTGGATTTATTTAAAATTGGGTTGTAGCATGTATTGTGTAACTGAGAGGCATCGCTATGTTTCAGTCTTGGTTTAATCAGGTTTTTTTCAGCGACAATTGTTGGTGTTGGAGATGGGAAGGATCTTAGAGCTTTCTCACTCATCCTCTTGCCGGGTGAAGGTGATTTCATGAACCTTTCTGTGTTGAGCTTTGGGGAACTGCCTCTGTGATGTGCCAGAGGGGACCTACAGCATTCACTGGAATCCAACACCCGCGTGCACGTGAGCTTTGGTGTGTTTTGATCATTGGCATCGAAGGTCAAAGAGAACATTTGGCGCCCACTTACTTATAACTGAAGTCGGGTCAGAAAAACGATAGCGGTGGTTTCCAATCCCAGTGAATTCACAGGTCTGCTTCAAGTCAAATTGTTCTCTTCTTTGTGCTGTTGGAGTATTTGGTTGTTACCAACCTAAGTCAAATATTTCTATTGACTACAAGATGCTCAGATTTAGTGTAGAGAACATAATTGTTAGTTACCTATGGACTCGGGAGTTCCATTCAAAGCAGCCTAACCCCCTGGCTGGCTGTGGGGATGTGTAACTTATTTGCACTTAGATAAACCACTTTTGCACTAGTATCTCAGTGGGGAACGAAACGTTGTCTGTTTTGAAATGTGAGTGCTCTGAATGTTCAAAAGCATAATTTATATAATAAACTGCAGAAGAAAAGCTAAAGATGCGAGTGTTCTTAAACGTGTTCTTAATGTGGTGTGTGTTACTCTGTTATCCTGTCCCATGCTTCAATGTTTAAGTGTCGGGAGTAGAAAATAAAATTCTGACTTGGAATTTGAAGAAAAGGAGTTTTTCACAAAGGGAGTTCTGGTCAAATTATCAAAAGCAGGGGAAAAAATCTGCTGACTTAGTACATGGTCTAGTAGTGAGGTTTGGGGATTTTTTTTTTCAGCTGGGTGCATAATAATTCAGCTGCTTCTTTGCCAGGGTTTCTGTTCATGTGTGTGTTGGAAGCAAATCCTCTACTTGAAAAACTGTTTGAGTGGGGAAAAAAAATGACCTTTCCTTTGTTGCAATATATGTTCTCCTTAGTTTAAATTTGTCAAATGATTTCTTACTGGACTGCTTTTGAATGAGAGTTAGAAATTTGTTTGATGGTGAGCAGTTACGATAAAATAACTTTTTTTAAAAAAAAAAGTATCCCTTGTCTTTATGACCCTATTTCTTATGGCAAGTGTCCCATTACAGTTAGAAAGTTATCATAACATTTTTAGAGCCTTTGGTGTCTTTCCCTCCAGGATCTTCAACGCTTTGTCTCTGCTAACATTGCCTTGCTGTCTTTGTGAGGCAGAGGGCTCTTGTTGTCCCTGTTTAACCTGTGACAGAGGTGAGGTCTGGAGGGATGAGGTCGTTCTTGGGCACTGCTTGGATGAGAAGAGCAACCCACGGCCCCATGGAATGAAGCAACATCTCCCTTGGCCCGGGCTCCACTTGTCCATGTCCCAGAGCGATGGTGGAAGCCGTCATCACACGGAAGCTGCTGGAGATAGTGCCCAAACCATGTGTAAATCAGCAGCACTTTGGGTCACCCTCCTCTGCCTTCGCAGTGGAAATGTACCATTCATTGTCAACTGCTGTGCCCGCCCATGGCAATATTGAGTAGAAAACAAGGTAAAAGAGCAGCACAAAAACTTGCAGTGCGTAGGGTGGCTGCCAAGCTTGGCTCTAATTGTCTTTACTGATTCTCTTTCCTAAATGTTCAATGTAGATAAACACTGCCTTTGTAAAAGGAGGATTTAAAGACATACTTTCAGTATTTGGGTCCAAATGCCTGATTTTGATTGGATTTTGCCCCCTGGTGTTTTGCTGCCAGAGGGGTTTGAACTCCCAGGAGCGGCACAAGCTGGAGCAAACCCTGGCCTTAGGCAGAGATGAGCTGTTTGAGATCCAGTCTTAGCAATTTAATGATATTTGAGTACCCAAACCCAGGAGTTTGGGTAGAGTTTGGGTAGAGTTGGTTTATCGACAAGGTGTGTGCTGTGACAAGCTGCTGGTCTGGGCAGGGATGGGACTGGAGCTTGTGGTGGGACGTGCAGATGGAGGGGAACCTGAGCGTACCCTGTCGAGAGGATCTGAAGTGGTTCAGGCTTTCTACATGTGGGATTTCTGAGCAAAGGAAGTTGCTTTTCGATGAGAAAGTAGCTCTTGAAAGGAAGGTTGGAAGTTGTTAGAAGTTAAGCGTTTGTTAAAACTTTTGTTCAAGGTTTGTTGAAACCTAAAAGCTTTTCTAGCATGAGGAGGGGGTCAGTGCTGGGGACAACGGTGCCCCGAGGGTTGTGTGAGCATCCCTAGGAAATACTTGCCCAAGTTTCCCAGCTGTGCGAGAGAGAAAGGGGGGAAAACATTAATTAGGATGGAAAAAACATTAATTGGGGGGGGGGAAAACCTCCTCTTGCCAAGGAGGTGAGAGGGAGAGCGACTCTGAACAGGGTTCCTGATGCTGCTCTGCCACAGCTTGTCCATGGGCCGGCCTCGGGGCTGGTGTTTGGAAATGCTGGGGCTTGTGAAAGCAAAGCAGGGAGGGAAATTAGTGATAGGAGCCGTGTTTTCATGGGTCTGTGGGTGCCACGGTGGTGCTGGTGTTCTCCAGGTTATTTTGAAACCCACCCAGTGTCCTACAATTAAGCTGGGTTTTGCAAAGTCACTGGAAAGGGCTGATCCTCGTTGGACTGTCCCCCAAGGACGGAGCCGAGGTCACTTGTTTGGTGCACATCACTTCTGAGCAGAGATAAGCACGAGCTGCAGAACTTAAATCTGTGTATTAAGCTCTGGTGGCACTCGGAGCTGGGGTTTGAGTTCAGCCTTTGAGTTCCAGCCCAAACGCTGTTTTCTCCCCAAACCTGATTTTGGTTCAGGTTCAAATCAATGGGAACTGTGAAAGGAAGATCTTTGTGTGTCCCACTTAACTCTTCTATTCCTTGCTCTGTGTGTGTGTGTGTATGTATGTAATATATCTATTCTATGTAAAAATAGACTTCTATATGTATATATGCACACACAAGGGGTTTTAAAATAAATCTCTTCAAAATATTTCTGCTGCAATGCATTAGCATGAAATTGCAGAGGATGTTTTGTGGAAGTCTGCCTTCGCAGTAGGTTTTATAAAGCTGAAAGAAAAAAATATCAGGAGCTTGCAGTAGAGAAAATGAAAAGCTTTTTACTTTACTGGTGAATAAATAATTGCAGGAGACACTGGAGGGGGAAATTCAGAAGTGCAGCTCAGGGAGGGAAAGCAGCTGGAGTTCTGGGTGCCGCCTGGAGAAACAGCGTTTGGGCAGAACAGGAGGAGGCAGAGCTAATAATACAGTTTGCCTTTTTTTAGAGCTTATTGCTTTGTTACTGGCATCCAAGACGTTTTTAGCGTCGACGGAAAGAAGTTTGGGTGTTCCTACAAAATGAGATGTTTACTCAAGCATTTTTTTTAGAAGATGTGTCCCATCCGCTCGCTGCTGCCCATTGCTGTCTGAGGAGCTCAGCTGAACAGCCCCTGAAGGAGGTATGTCATGTCAATTTGCCATTTGCACCTGAAAATTTGTCTGTAAAGACAACTTCGTTTTGATTTCTTTGTTTGTTTGGGGGTATTTTTTTTTTTGAGACGCTTTTAGCATCGACGGAAAAAAGTTTGGGTGTTCCTACAAAACGAGATGTTTGCTCAAGCATTTTTTTAGAAGATGTGTCCCATCCGCTCACTCCTGCCCGTTGCTGTCTGAGGAGCTCAGCTGAACATCCCCTGAAGGAGGTATGTCATGTCAATTTGCCATTTGCACCTGAAAATTTGTCTGTAAAGACAACTCTGTTTTGATTTCTTTGTTTGTTTTGGGGTATTTTTTTTTACTCTTTATCTAGTCCTCCTGTTCGTTTTGATTTCTTTGTTTGTTTGGGGGTATTTTTTTTTTTACTCTTTATCTAGTCCTCCTGTCTGCTATTACCACTTCTGTAACACCATTTTATTTCCTATTCTGTGATTTGAATTGCTTCCTGAGATTATGATTATCCCGAGATCAAGGATCATAATCAATCCTTGATTATGATCAATATGATTTTTATTTTTTTTCCCCCAAGCTGTTTTGGGGAGAGCTTTTCTTCAACAGGTTGATGTTCAAAATTGTGGGGATAAAATTTTTTGAAGGGACCCTCTATCAAAGAAGAAATTCTACTTGTGTTTTCAGAGCTGTTGTCAGGCAGAGGGCAAGAGAGAATCGGGAAACAATTTTACACTTTGTTTGCTGTTATTATTTTGGGAGAAATGAGGAAAACCAAAGAAGTTCCAGTCCCTGGAGCTGCTGCAGGTCCTGGCTGGCTGCAGCAAGGAATGTGTAACAGATCCTCCCGCATGTGACAGTGGGATGGCGTCTATTTATGTCTCCATAAACATGAAATTATGAAATCTGTGCCAGGGAAGATGGTGCTGGCGAAGTCCTCGTCTGACCCGGTGGACGGTGGCTGGACTTGCACCTCTCTGGGAGCACAGGGTGGACGTGGACTCGCTGCAGAACATCGTGCTGCTGGGAGATGTTTGTTGACAGGGAAATGGGTCAGGCAATAAAGCAAAGAATCCACCCCCCGTGTCACCGGTGGGAGGGAGGTGCTGGGAGCTTCTGTGATAACGTCTCACCCACCGTGTTGGATGTAAGAGCCACTTCCCAGGGGCAGCGACTAGGAATTAAAAAAAAAAAAATCACCAAAAAAACCCATGTTTTCTTTCGTGCAGTCTAGTTTTGAAATAAATTCTTGTTGAAATATTGTGCAGCTGAGGCTGGGATCCTTTCTGCAAAGTTAAAAAGAAAAAAAAAGTGTCTCAAGATTGCAAAAGATGGGAAAAAATATGTGGGAGAAATTGTCTGTCCATGCTTTGCTCTTGCAAAGTGGTACCGATGGGGGCCTGCAGGGACCTGCAGGGTACAAAGCTGTGGTGGGGAAGGGTCTGGTAGTGCTTGTTCTTCTGGAGGCTGCCTGGGTCGTGCCAACCCCTGCTCCTGTCTTGCAGGAGCTGTGTCCCACTACCTGGGACCATCCCTGGTGCTTCTGCATCAGCTCCAGTGCTGAGCCTGCATCCTGGCTGCAACGGTCAGTGATGCTCCTCACCCCAGATGCTTGATTCCTCCCCAAATACTCAAGGATGGTCCTAAATCTGCCCTGGGGTGATGCTCCTCACCCCAGATGCTTGATTCCTCCCCAAATACTCAAAGATGGTCCTAAATCTGCCCTGGGGTGATGCTCCTCACCCCAGATGCTTGATTCCTCCCCAAATACTCAAAGATGGTCCTAAATCTGCCCTGGGGTGATGCTCCTCACCCCAGATGCTTGATTCCTCCCCAAATACTCAAAGATGGTCCTAAATCTGCCCTGGGGTGATGCTCCTCACCCCAGATGCTTGATTCCTCCCCAAATACTCAAAGATGGTCCTAAATCTGCGCTGGGGTGGTGTCTCCCAGTCCAGCACCAGTACTGGGGGCAGCTTGATGGTGTAGGGAGGCTGGGGCAGGCTCCTTGGGCTGGGGAGCCCCTTGGCAGAGGGGGATGAGCAGGCAGGGAGCAGGCTGTGCCCTGGGTTGCCCCGGGCAGGAGCTGGCTGGGACAGGCAGGAGCCTGCCTCTGCAGGCAGATGGGTGCTGGCAGGAAAAGCAGAGCCTGTCCTGGGGACTGGGTGAAAAAGTCATTTA